TCAAGGTACTGGGTGGGGTCAGCTATACGATGACAATAGAGCGGCTATTTTTTACGATTTATACGACGATTTCAACTTGACTATTTTGAACACTGGTGAAGCGACACGTATAGCAAAACCTCCGGCTCGAGAAAGCCGACTCGACCTATCTTTGTGTTCAAGATCGCTATCATTGGATTGTCTGTGGAAGGTTATCAATGATCCCCATGGTAGCGATCATTTGCCAATCATCATTCCAATTCCAATTAAGTGTGCCCCTCACTCTGCAGAACCATTTCGTGTTCCATTTGATCTTACAAGGAACATAGATTGGCAGAAATATGCAACGGCGGTGACAATCGGTGCCGAATCAATAGATACGCTTCCACTATTGGAAGAATATCGATTCCTCGCCGATTTGATTTACAAATGCTCACAAGAAGCACAAAAAAGAAAAGTTCCAAGTGCGCCCTTCAAAAGGAGGCCAGCCACACCTGGATGGGACGAAGAATGCACAAAATTTTGTGTAGAAAAATCTGATGCTTTCAAAGCTTTCAGTAGACACAAAACCTCCACATACTTCGAGGAATATTCAAAGCTTGAGACAAAGCTAAAACAATTAATCAAAGCAAAAAAACGTGGTTATTGGCGCAATTTCGTCGAGGGACTCTCACGAGAAACCTCAATGAATACCTTGTGGAGGGTAGCTGGCAACATACGTAACCGCTCATCTTCTAATGAGAGTGAAGAATACTCCAACCGATGGATATTCGATTTCGCTAAAAAGGTCTGTCCGGACTCAGTTCCAGCACAACACATTCTTCGAGAAGCGTCTCCGAGCGGTAGCTCTCTGGATAGACCATTCACAATGCTAGAATTCTCTATGACTCTTCTTTCATCGAACAACTCCTCACCGGGAATCGATATGATTAAATTCAATCTTCTGAAAAATCTCCCACATATCGCTAAAAGACGCTTGCTAGACTTATTCAATTTCTTACTAGAAAATAACATTATACCGCCTGAATGGAGACAGGTCAAAATAATAGCCATTAAAAAACCTGGCAATCCAGCGTCTGACCATAACTCATACCTTCCGATTGCGATGCTTTCGTGCATTAGAAAATTGTTGGAGAAAATGATCCTTCGGAGACTCGATCAGTGGGTCGAAACAAATATCTTGCTATCAAATACACAGTTTGGGTTCCGCATGAGCAAAGGAACAAACGATTGTCTAGCGCTGCTTTCCAACTGGCTTTTGCGCACAAGGAGCAATTAACTTCAGTATTCTTGGACATTAAGGGGGCTTTTGATTCAGTTTCCATTGAAATTCTGTCAGACAATCTGCACAGATGTGGACTTTCTGGAATTTTAAATAATTTCTTGTACAATTTGTTGTCAGAAAAGCAAATGAACTTTTCCCTTGGACAACTGACAACTTCCAGAATTAGCTACATGGGCCTGCCCCAAGGTTCATGTCTCAGCCCTCTTCTTTATAACGTTTATGTCAAAGATATCCACAACTGTTTGGCAGAACAATGCACGCTAAGACAACTTGCAGTTGACGGTGTGGTTTCCGTAAGAGGTCCACATGCCGTGGACTTGCAAGGACCATTGTAAAGTTCCTTAGATAACTTGTCGTCTTGGGCTAGGAATCTAGGGATCGAATTCTCGCCGCAGAAAACTGAACTGGTAGTGTTTACTCGAAAGCGGTACCCAGCCCAAATGCAACTTAATCTTTTGTGCAGAAACAATACTCAATCATTGTCTTTCAAGTACCTTGGGGTCTGGTTTGACTCAAAGTGCACTTGGAATATGTATTGAAGCAAAAATGTCAGCAGAGGATCAACTTTCTCCGTTCAATTTGCGGCACATGGTGGAGTTCTCATCCGGGAGACCTAATAAAATTGGAACGAATTCAATATCGTTGTCTGCGTATTGCTCTCGGCTGTATGCACTCAACGCATAACATTTTTTTTTCCTCTGTTCGGGACCTAACACTACTGCGACCAGTAAATTGATCTTTTGTAGTAAATCCCGTGTCCTTAGTTTAGTGCATGTCGTATTACTCCATCACTATTGAGAAATGATGAAGTATTCGATTTTTTTTACAGTTGCCACTCTTGCATTTATCGCAAGGATCCGACTCTATTCCCTTGGGAGTGTTGAAACACCCTTCAAAGGCGCGCCCCTTTGTCAGTCAAAAATGAATTCCTTAGCAACAAAATTAAGGTATGACACCGATAATGACCATGCATCAGAACCCTAGTCTTAACCACTTCAAACTAGGGAACAACGAAGAGAAGATTAGGAATCACATAGATGAAGAAAACTAACTCGTTTTTTGCCTTGTTTCAAGATCATCCTCGGTAGACAAAGCCGAGTCTTGTCACTATCAACAAGGCATAAATAGTAACAGACTAAGATGTGTTCCATGGATTACTGAAAAATCCAGTTCCCCTAGTATGAAGTAGTCAGGAACTAGGGAACAACGGATAAAAGATTAGGAATCACATAGATGAAGACAACTAACTCATTTTTGCCTTGTTTCAAGATCATCCTCGGTAGACAAAGCCGAGTCTTGTCACTATCAACAAGGCATGAAAAGTAACAAGGACTAAGATGTGTTCTTTGGATTACTGAAAAATCCTGTTCCCCTAGTTTGAAGTAGTCAGGACTAGGAATCGGTGGTAGATCTTACATCCCGTAACGTACCACGAAAAGGTGATCTACCCACGTTACGGGCACGGATAACATGAGTCTCGAGGTTCTGGCAGGAGTAACACCCCTCCAGAACCGTTTCTGGGAGCTCTCTCTCTCAGAATACTAATCAAATGCGGAATGACAACCCAGGTAACAAATTGATGCTTAACAAGTGTTCTTTCAACGATTTTAATTCAGGCTTAGTTTGAATAATTGTTGTACATAGACCGCTTTAACCTTTGTTCAGCTTTTAAACATCTAAATCTGGTGATTTATAAGCTTTTCAAGGCATTAACCATCAGTCTTTTCCGACCCTTGTTCAGTCTTCATTTTTTATTTAAAAAAATATAATGGAAGACCGCTTCTCATATCTTATATTTTTTATGAGACTGCTTTAGAAAACACTAACTGACTAAAGGGTGATACGGTCAAAATTTGGTCAATATCAACTTGACGTATTTCTTTCAATTTTGCATTAAAAAAACCTGAACACCCCTCATTTTGAAGGTGTGTGTGTGTAGAATGTTGCTCCTATTTTGATTTTGGAATTCACTCTTCAGTTGTCAAAATGCCGTCCAAGCAAGAAGAGCAGCGTATCAAAATTTTGCTCGCGCTTCGCGAAAATCCGAGCTACTCGCACGCAAAGTTGGCAAAATCGCTAAAAGTTGCCAAATCAACCGTTACAAATGTAATTAAAGTGTTTGGGGAACGTTTGTCGACAGCCAGGAAGTCTGGATCCGGGGGAAATCGAAAACCGGAAGCCGCTGAGACGACAAAGAGAGTTGCCGGTAGTTTCAAGCGAAACCCTAACCTCTCTCTCCGAGATGCCGCAAATAAGCTGGGTGTATCGTCTACAACCGTGCATCGAGCCAAAAAACGAGCCGGACTATCGACTTACAAGAAGGTAGTGACTCCAAATCGCGATGATAAACAAAATACGACGGCCAAAGCGCGATCCCGGAGGCTGTACACGACGATGCTGACGAAGTTTGACTGCGTGGTAATGGACGACGAAACCTACGTCAAAGCCGACTACAAGCAGCTTCCGGTACAGGAGTTTTATACGGCAAAAGGAAGGGGAAAGGTAGCAGATGTTTTCAAGCACATGAAACTGTCAAAGTTCGCAAAGAAATATCTGGTTTGGCAAGCCATCTGTACCTGTGGCTTGAAAAACAGCATTTTCATAACTTCCGGGACTGTCAACCAAGAAATTTACGTGAAAGAGTGTTTGAATAAACGTCTGCTGCCTTTCCTGAAGAAACACGGTTGTTCCGTACTGTTTTGGCCGGATTTGGCATCTTGCCATTACGGTAAAAAGGCCATGGAGTGGTACGCCGCCAACAACGTGCAGGTGGTTCCCAAGGACAAGAACCCTCCCAACACGCCAGAGCTCCGCCCAATTGAGAAATACTGGGCTATTGTCAAGCGGAACCTAAAGAAGACCAAAAAAACTGCTAAGGGCGAGCAGCAGTTCAAGGCAAACTGGCTTTCTGCGGCGAAGAAGGTGGACAAGGTGGCTGTACAAAATCTGATGGCAGGGGTCAAGCGTAAGGCCCGGCAATTCGGATTTGGAAAAGCGGAAGCCTAACTGAATATTTTTCCTGAATTTTATACTAATTGAACTTGAAAAAGAAATTTAATTTGATTTTTTAAATAAACGATTTCACCGATTTACACGCGTTTTCCCTTGACCAAATTTTGACCGTATCACCCTTTAATTGAATTTACATATTTATATTGTTATTATATGTCTAAAAATTACCTTTACATTTCGGGATTCGAACCGGCAGTCGCTGATTCACAGGCGTCAACTATACCCACTCGACCACATAAGCATATTTGAGGCAGAAGGTATGATCATTAACATGAAGCACGTCAAAAGTAAGTTGAATAATAGCAACCGGAAGAGTATTATACAGCAATGCAGAATTGTAAACAATACATTGTGACAATAAAACATTCCTCTCATTTCAAGTGCAGTAAACACAATGTGGACACAAGTGCGCGATGTATTTCGATGCTTTAGTGTTATAATTGTGTCGGGAGCACAGCGAGCAGCAGCAGAAAATTTGTCTCAGCTGATTCTGTTTCTCAGCTCCCCACAGGCAGGTAAACTTTTACTCACTATTTCTTCTCTTTCAGGAATTCCAGAATGGCGGAAAAGAAGAATGGTTCTTGAAGCAGCTTAACTTTAAGCACTCGCGACTTACTTCACGCACAATAAACTTTAATTCTACTTAATTAACTGCTTTTACTTTCACTAAATTACAATATTTTTCTAAGATTAATTTCACTTTTACTTTCACTTGTTTGTTTATCTTCTGCTTCGCACTGATGATGATGATTGATGACGTCGCTGTAGCTAAAGAGGATGACTCCTGTCACTCTTCGACTTTTATAACAGGGCGCGGCGGAAGACGGTACAACGCCATGCTACCAATCTAAATTTCCCTTTTGGGCGTTTATAGCCGTCGATCAAAGGGAGTTTTTACGATGTGACCGATGAGCAACAGATGGCGCGTCGATGCATTTTCGTTGTCACGAACATACTGGCCCCTTCAGGAACTTCGTGTATACTCGATGATCAGCTGCTCTGCTACCGGTCTCTTTCTCGCATCGGGACTGTCACTGCTATACGATCGATGAAGCTTCGACGGACGATTTGTTTATACACGAAAGTCGACGATAGAAAAATGGTCTGCAAACATAAGACCCGCCCACACGAATTGCCGGCGAAAAAGTGACGTCATTTGACATTGGGCGACTTGAAGACTGATCGTTTTTAAATTGGTGTGTTTTTTTTTGTCGTGCGCTCAGCCATCTTGTTTGGTAAAAGTTTGTTTACTTTTACCCGAGCCGCGAGCGAAAGGAAGCAGCTAACAGTAAGTATTAAAATATTTGTTATATTTATTGCAATTATGTTTAATTTACTGATGCAACGCATCAACAAGGATGTTTAACGCATCCGGAAATTACTACTGATATTATTTTGCGTAATTTCAGTACTTGGCACCTGATCCTGCGACAAAGGAATCATTAGCGCAATTAGTTGTACAGTTTGTGCAGTACCAGGAGACCAAACTCACTACTAGGTTGCCGGTAAGTGTTCCCTAAATTCAGGGTTAAACAGCTTGTGGTCAGTGGTAAAATTCTTACTTCTTGCGCAGATGCGATGTTTTATGGATTTTAAACCGGGTGGATCGCTTTGTCATATTCTGGCCACGATGTACAGTTACAAGGCTGAACAGCGCTGGCGGAAATTCGATTTTACGGTAAACAAGGTAAGCATGTTCCACGCCCGGTGCTAATTCCCTTTTGATCAAATGTTCCACCCTATGCTTAAGGACCCCATTATACAGATGCTGCTTAACATGAAGACGGCTCTAATCGAAGCTGAATACATGCGGCTACCGATCGTTTACGTTAGGCCCGAAGTGGACAAGGCTACTGCTAATCGAATATCGAACATTGTAACCAATCATCAGGGTGAGATGACGATGGACGAGGAGGAGGCGACGCATATCATCTATCCGGTGGTTGATCCCCTGCTGGAGGATTATGCAAGGCCTACATTCCGCCGGGATAAGCATGTGATGATTCATTGGTATTACTTCCCGGATTCGTACGATACCTGGGTACCGAATACGTTTGATTTGCCGGAGGCCGTGCCGGATTCTCCGATGTCACCGGGTGACCGTTGGTCTGTTTCGCTTTCGTGGGTAACCGATCTGGAAGAGTACAATGAATGGATGGCAAAAGAGGATTACGAAGTGGATGAAGCCGGTCGTAAAAAGGTCCACAAACTGCGACTCGGTGTTACGGATCTGATGGCCGGTGGATCGGACGATAAAGTGAAGAAAGCTAATGATGAAAGTTGTTCATCAGAAGTGCAAACGATCGCCTTCTCCGCAAGCAAAGGGTGGTAAACGGAAGAGCGGTCGGCCACCGGCCGTATTCCAAAAAAAAACCTTGTGCTGATGACGAACAATCAGAAGATCTGACAAAGGATATGGACGACTCCCAGCCGGAAACTAATCTGACTGAGGTGAAGGCTGGTTCGAGCAATTCTGCTTCAGGTCCGGCCACTCCACAGCCCAAGAGAGATCCGGAAATGATGCCTATAAAATATGCAACAATGACGGATCTGGATGACGACATTGACAGAGCTAATGCGGATCGAACGGGAGATGATAGTCAAGCTGGCAAAACCAGCGACAACAGCAACTCAGGAGTTTCCTCACAACAAGGACGACCTGGAGGATATTGTTACCGAGTAGACACGAGTAGAAAGTTAAGTTAAAGTTAAGTTAAAGTTAAGTTAAAGTTAAGTTAAAGTTAAGTTAAAATTAAGTTAAAATTAAGTTAAAGTTAAGTTAAAGTTAAGTTAAAGTTGAGTTAAGTTAAAGTTAAGTTAAAGTTCAGTTAAAGTTAAGTTAAAGTTGGGTTAAAGTTAAGTTAAAGTTAAGTTAAAGTTGAGTTAAAGTTGAGTTAAGTTAAGTTAAAGTTAAGTTAAAGTTCAGTCAAAGTTAAGTTAAAGTTGAGTTAAAGTTAAGTTAAAGTTAAAGTTAAGTTAAAGTTAAGTTAAAGTTAAGTTAAAGTTAAGTTAAAGTTGAGTTGAAGTTGAGTTAAGTTAAGTTAAAGTTAAGTTAAAGTTCAGTTAAAGTTAAGTTAAAGTTAAGTTAAAGTTGAGTTAAATTAAGTTAAAATTAAGTTAAAATTTAAGTTAAAGTTAAGTTAAAGTTCGGCTAATTAAGTTAGAGTTATGTTAATTTCATGCTACAATTATGTTAAAGTTAAGTTAATGTTATGTTAAATTTAAAGTTCTGTTAATAGTAAGATAAACATTTGTTAAAACAAAAGTTAAAATTTAGTTAATGTTAAGTTAAAGCGAGGGGGGCGACTCTATCTAAGATGCAGGACATTTTTTGCTTTGCTGTTGTGAGATGCACTCACGCTTAATAGATAGAAACACGATTGTTTATGATTTTGAAGATTTCCTGCAAAAAGGTGGAGAGCGATGCGAGTAGATGGGTTTAAATGCAAGAGATGACAAAAGATTTTTCGTAGATAGATTCACTGGTGTGAGATTTTTCGACCATTTAAAATCGAGATTTAGATGTGTCGCACCCCTCGCGTTAAAGTTAAGCTAGAATTAAGTTAAGGTTATGTTTAAGTTAAGTTAAAGGTAAGTTACAGTTATGTTTATGTTAAGATGAAGTTAAGTTAATTTATGTTTAAGATAAAGTTAAGTTAAAGGTAAGTTAAAGTTATGTTGAAGTTAAGGTTCAATTTACTTTGATGCTTTTTCGAAAAATTCAAGAGCAGTTTTTTTCGACGCATTAGTTCAGGTTGCAAAATGCTCGCACTATTCGATTCCTTTTGCTATTCTACACAAAATGACGCGAGTTTTTAGCAATCTGAAATAATGCGTCGAAAAAAACTGCTTTTGATTTTTTCGAAAATGCATCAAAGTAAATTGAACCTTAAGTTAACGTTAAGTTAAAGTTAAGTAAAATTTAAGTTAACGTTAAGTTAATGGTAAGTTAAAATTATGTTAAGGTGAAGTTTATTCAAATTTATGTATAAGTTATGTTAAAGTTAACTTTAAATTAAATTTAAATTAAATTTATGTTACAGTTAAAGTTACGTTAAAGTTATGGTAATGTTAAGTTATAATTAATTTAAATTTAAAGTTATGTTAAAGTTAAAGTTATGCTAAAAATAAATTAAATTTATGTTGAATTTGTTTCAATTTAAGGTGAAGTTTTGCTAAAATTATGTTCAAGTAAATTTAAGTTAAAGTTATGCTATAGGTAAGTTAAAGTTAAGTTAAGTTTAGTTAATGTTATGTTAAAGTTAAAGTTGATGCTTAAAGTTAAGTTAAAGTTCAGTAAATTTTAGGATAAAGTTATGTTAAATTTAAGTTAAAATTACGTTTAGTTAAAGTTAAGTTAAAGTTTTGTTAAGTTAATGTTCGGTTTGAGTAAAAGTTATGTTAATGTTAAAGTTATGTTAAATTTAAGTTAAAATTTAAGGTAAAGTTAATGTTCGGTTAAAGTTATGTTAAATTTAAGTCAAAATAAAGTTAAGGTTATGTTAAAGTTTATTTAAAGTTAAGTTAAAGTTTAGTTAAAGTTAAGTTAAGTTTAAGTTAAGTTTAAGTTAAATTTAAGTTAAGTTTAAGTTAAGTTAAAGTTAAGTTTAAGTTAAGTTTAGGTTATCTTAACGTTATGTTAAAGTTAAAGTTAATGCTTAAGTTAATGTTAGGATAAAGTTATGTTAAATGTAAGTTAAAATTACGTTAAGGTTTTGTTTAAGTTAAAGATATGTTAAGTTAATGTTCGGTTAAAGATAAAGTTATGTTAAATTTAAGTTAAAATTTAAAGTTAATTTTAGTTTAAAGTTATGTTAAAAATAAAGTAATGTTAAAATTTATGTTAAAGTTAAGTTAAAGTTGAGTTAAAGTTGAGTTAAAGTTAAGTTAAAGTTAAGTTAAAATTAAGTTAAAGTTCAGTTAAAGTTCAGTTAAAGTTAAGTTAAAGTTAAGTTAAAGTTAAGTTAAAGTTCAGTTAAAGTTAAGTTAAAGTTAAGTTAAAGTTGAGTTAAAGTTGAGTTAAAATTAAGTTAAAGTTAAGTTAAAGTTAAGTTAAAGTTCAGTTAAAGTTCAGTTAAAGTTAAGTTAAAGTTAAGTTAAAGTTCAGTTAAAGTTAAGTTAAAGTTAAGTTAAAGTTGAGTTAAAGTTGAGTTAAAGTTAAGTTAAAGTTAAGTTAAAGTTAAGTTAAAGTTAAGTTAAAGTTCAGCTAAAGTTAAGTTAAAGTTAAGTTAAAGTTAAGTTTAAGTTAAGTTTAGGTTAAGTTAAAATTAAGTTAAAGTTAAGTTAAAGTTCAGTTAAAGTTAAGTTAAAGTTAAGTTAAAGTTAAGTTAAAATTGAGTTAAAGTTAAGTTAAAGTTGTGTTAAAGTTGAGTTAAAGTTGAGTTAAGTTAAGTTAAAGTTAAGTTAAAGTTAAGTTAAAGTTAAAGTTAAGTTAACGTTACGTTAAAGTTAAAGTTATGTTAAAGTTAAAGTTAAAGTTAAACTTAAGAAGTTAAAGTTCAGTTAATTTTAGGATTAAGTTTTGTTAAATCTAAGTTAAATTTCGTTAAGTTAAAGTTAAGTTGAAGATATGTTAAGTTAATGTTCGGTTTAAGTTAAAGTTATGTTTAATTTAAGTTAAAATTTAAAGTTATGTTAAAGTTAAGTTAAAGTTAGGTTAAAGTTATGTTAAAATTAAGTCAAAGTTAAGTAAAGGTTATGTTAAAGTTTATTTAAAGTTAAGTTAAAATTTAGTTGAAGTTAAGTTAAGTTTAACTTAAGTTTAAGTTAAGTTTAAGTTAAATTATCCCGTAATTTAATAATCGTTTAATAAATGTAGAATAGTGTCTAATGAAACATTATTTCACATAATAATCAAGCGTTTATATACACCTTTATATCATCGCTGTTTAAGGAAGTAATGATGTCTAATTAACGCTGAATAATCAAAAATTTGATCGAATAAGCTCTGTTACAATTTTTGTAAGTCGAAGAAAAGCTTCTCGACATACCTTATTCAACACCAAATACTTCGATGTTGTAGTTGAATAAATTCTCCAGATTTGTGTGAACAAAGCCTGAACAGAAGTTAATATTTAAAATAGTACAAGTATTATTAAGCATGAAGTGATATAAAATAGTCAAGAAGCCGTTTCTTCAATAGGCAATTGTTTGTTGGGAAGTAAATGTTAGGTTAAAGTTATGTTAAAATTGATTTTTGGCCTCTATTCGTGACCCAAATTCCAAAAATACCCATATTTATGGACTTTTGAAATTATTTTTCATTTTTTATGAAACTGGAAGCCGCCACATTTGATTTCAAAATGGCATCGGATATCGATTTTCTCTAGACGACAACCTCCAAAAACCTTCAAAAAAATCCCATATTGATTGATAATTGATAGTAATTCCCAATCTCTTCTTGGATCTCGGAATTCAAAATGGCGTCGTATGCCTATTTCCAATCTCTAGACGTCACCCGATCCCAAAAATACCCATTTTATAGATAATTGACAGCATTCCCAATTTTTCATAAACCAGAAGCCGCCATCTTTAATTTCAAAAACTTATCGGATATTGATTAGCGGCAGGATTAGCGGCCTTTAGTCACTAGCCCGATTCTAAAAATACCCATATTTATGGATATTTGACACTTTTTCTGCAACAGGAATCCTCCACCTTGGATTTCAAAGTAGCGTCGGATATCGATTTCCTATATCTACACGTCACCCCGATTCCAAAAATACCCATATCGATGTCAATGGTATCAACGGTATATGATAATATATCCCATATTTGATTTAAAAATGGCGTCGGATATCGATTTCCAGTTGATTGTAGATTGTAGATTGTAGTAGAGTTGGAAACTTGATCATGTAAACACTACGCATCATTGTCTGGTAGTTCGTTAAAAAATGCTACAACAATCGTCAAGCTCCCTGTAACGTCACCTAGTGCCTCGTCATCCACGAATTGGCGCCTATGTCAGTAGTCTAATAACTCTTAGCGCGCTGATGGCATGGTTCCAATGCCGCATAGAGAGTTGCTACAATGATATTAGGTTAGCTATGGTCAGTTAACTGACTGGTGGGGAACGGGAGCTTTAGCAATGACTATTATGTATGCATTTCTATAACGTTATCTAACAACAATGTTGTGTACTGTTTACAAAATCATGTTTGTAATTCTAATGTGTTGTATGGTTGAAAGCATTTGAAAAAAGTTAGATTTTAATGTTTTGCACATTTGAAAACATCCGAAAACAATAAGTTCTTAGTACAATTGAAAACACCCGAAAATCATTTTGTTTTAATGTCTTATACATTTGACAACATCAGGAAGCATCTACAGTTGAAAACACCCGAAGAACGTTAAATTTTAACGTTTTGTACGTCTAAAATCATCTAAAAAAATAAAAATTCGATTAAAATTCTCGACGTCAGAACAACATTTGAATAGCAAAATTTTATTTCACGTTACATCTAAATAGCAATCCTGATGAATGTGGGCGTCTTAGTGGAATACCTGTATAATGAGAGAGAGAAGGATTAGTATTTTCCATTTAATTCCACTACTTTATTTGCTTATCCTTGACAGATACGCGTATTTCGTCTACAATGTGCAGACTTCTTCAGTGTCTTGTACTAATACTCGACTGTCGAGTATTAGTACAAGACACTGAAGAAGTCTGCACATTGTAGAC